TTTCTGCAGTAGACCAGTTGCCATCCAAGGAATATAGAACCCAGTCTGTCCTGCTATTTACCCATAGCTGGGTGGGGAGAAGAAGGGGAGTCATACCTTTTCCCAAGGGTATTAGCATGTAAGTGAATGTAATGGATTCAAGTAGATCTTAAGATTCGGGTCTCCATTCCTCAATCAGTTATGTGCCATGTGTGATACACGCAACAAGCGATCATGTATCTTTTGATATAAGACTGACGCAAATTTTTTCCCACTGTAGGTTTGCCATTACTAGACCAGTTACCACCCAAGGCTATAGAACCCAGTCTGTCCTGTTATTTTACCCATAGCTGGGGGGGGCGGAGGAGAAGTGGAGGATTCATACCTTCCCAAGGGTATTAACACGTAAATGAATGTAATGGATCAGACTGGAATTCAAACTAGGCTCTCAATTTCTCAATCCGAGCCACTAACCATTACTCCACCATGATTTCTGAATTGTTTCAATAGTACAGTAATAAGGATAGTATTCTTGGTGTATAAATGGAATAAATATCAACCTGTATTACATGACTGAGATTGGGCTTTGGGAAGATGCCATATCATATGCTGAGATAAACAAAAGAATTACAGCAACGATAAGAAGCTGCCTACTGGTCATCCTCAACACCAAAAAAAAAAATCTCTATCTGTAAAGGCAGGATGTGTGTAATGAATGTGATTTTATGCAATTTCTGACAGATTTGCACCAAACTGTACATTCACATGCTCCAAATTAGGGGAAGGCCAAGACCGATAGTGGAAATAATTATATTTTGCCAAATTCTACAAAGTTTGGACAAGTTTGTGTAATTATATTTTCTAAATATGGCCAAGTGAGAGCCAATAGCTGGCTGCCTTGAATAGGCAGGAAGATTCTATTGGTCAGCATGAGAAAAACAGCTGACTGACACAAATGTTAATAGCATGCTAGCATGCAAAAAAAAAAATGGAGCAGCTGCATTCGTCACAAGGGAAAAATTTAAATCTGCATGCTTAAACTCAACATTGATTCTGATTCCAGAACTGGGTTGGGTGTGTCTCCTATATTTGTTGTTAACATTCTTTTCATTTGGTTTTTCCAGTTACAGTCCTTTTTAAATTTGATTGTTTTGTGTTCATTTTGTTTTTACTTATTTCGTAACAGTTTGAGTATAGAGCCCTTTAAAAATTTAAATATAGAGATAGGCAAAACTAATATATATATATATATATATATATATATATAAATAAATTTGGCATACAATATCTAAAAACATCAAGAATATGACAAAAATATTTTAAGTCAACATAGTGGTTGGTGTAAATAGTAAAATTAATGTCAACCCATGTATATTGAAAAGTCCTACTAAAGAAAAATGTGTTGCCCAACACATATATTATTTTTTTTCATTAGAATGAAATAATTGTAGAATAGCATTGTTTTTCATAAATTAGGCCAAAGGAGACTGTTCTTGTTGGGTCATTTACAAGTCTATATCTGCTAGTTTTATAAATGATATAATTTTTACGTTTATAGTCATAAGAAATAAAGCCAGATTAAAAAATTTCATTTAAAAATTACTGTGCTTACATTTTGGGTTAAAAAATAATGCAAGCAGATATAGAAAAAAAAAAAAGCATGAATGAGGTCATTCCTTCAAAGAAGTAAGTTATGTGCCATGCGTGATACACGCTTAGGCAAAATCATGTACCTTTTGATGCATGACTGACGAGTATAAATTTTTTTTTTTTTTCAAAAGAAGTAGGTTGCCATTTCTTTCTGCGAAAGACCAGTTGCCATCCAAGGTCTGTCATGCTATTTGACCATAGCCTGGGGAGGAGGGGGGGAGGAGAAGAGGATTCATACCTTTCCCAAGGGATGCACGTAAATGAATGTAATGGATTCAACTGGAATTCAAGCTCAGTTCTCCGATTTCTCACTCTGAGCTGTTGTCCATTAACTCCACCGTAACTCCTTTAGTAGGGAACTGAAATCTTGTCTTATCATGTAATCTATCTCGGGATTTATACTGCTAGCAGCATTTTTTGTTTCTCCATATTTTTTTAGTCATCGTGCACATATTTATGTTTTGTCCTTGATTGAGCCCTGAAGAGCGATAACCAGTAACCCCCCCCACTTTTTTTGACTGTGAGGAAACTTTTTTTTTTTTTCTTCTCTTTAATATTTCTCTCACTTTGTTTTGGTTATTTTTTTCTTTATATATACTTCTAAAATATCCATTTTTAAAGCCCCCCCCCTAAAAAAAAAAAAAAAAAAAAAAAAAATGGGTACTAGTACTTAAATAGCGTTTAAAAAAAAATCAGAGAAACATAATGTTCATAATATCGATACAGTGTCAAATCAATCCTTGATTTATGAAAGGGGAGCTCAGTTCAATTATGTGCCTTGTGTGATACATGACAAGGCAGATTTTTCTCCTCAGTGGTTTGCCATTTCTTACTGTAGTAGACCGGTTGCCATCCAAGGCTATAGAACCCAGTCTGTCCTGCTATTTACCCATAGCTGGGGGGAGGAGAAGAGGATTCATACCTTTCCCAAGGGTATTAGCACATAAGTGAATGTAATGGATTCGACTGGAATTTGAACTCAGCTCTCCGATTCCTCAATCCGAGCCGCTATCCATTACTCCACCATGCCTCCTGTAGTCAGTTATGTGCCATGTGTGATACACGCTTAGGCAATCATGTATCTTTTGATACATAAATGACAAGGCAGATTTTTTCCTGCAGTAGTTTGCCGTTTCTTTCTGCGGTAGACCAGTTGCCATCCAAGGCTATAGAACCCGGTCTGTCCTGCTATTTACCCATAGCTGGGGGGGGGGAGAAGAGGAGGATTCATACCTTTCCCAAGGGTATTAGCAAGTAAGTGAATGTAATAGATTCAACAGGAATTCGAACTCGGCTCTCCGATTCCTCAATCCGAGCCGCTATCCATTACTCCACCATGCCTCCCAGAAAGGAGGCTGCTGGGAGTGAAAAAGAATGAAGACTTTAGAAGGAACCAGAAACCTAATCCTAAACAGGAAACAAGAGATAAACCTTTGCTCCTGTTTAATAGATTGAGGAGAAGTGTGAACTGGTCAACAGGTTCACCTCTCTACTCCTATTGGGAAAGAATAAATAAATAAACAATAAACAAAATTTCAGGGTTTAAGTGGAGAGGTTAGAAATATAGAAGCAACTGGAAACACAATCCTAAACAGGAAACAAGGGATTAACCTCTATTCATGTTCAAACGACCTGGGAGGACTATGGGTGATAGGCCAACATATTCACTCATACCTGCACTTAAATTTATTGACAAATGTCGTCCCTTGATAAGGTGCTTACCTGCATATCTTTTTAGTTTTTTTTTTGTTAATTAAAAATGTTACTCTGCTTCAGCAATGTGTACACCTGGTTGTTCTTTCATGACGAGTCTTGTTGTAAAACAAAAAGAAAAAGAAAAATCTATTTCACCCGCCAATTACTTGACTAAAATATTTTCCACCAATAAAACACATAAAAACATATATATCTGTTGTTTATTTTAAAGAAATCTGTTTAAAAAATTACTATCAACATAAAACACTATTTACATTGTTCAGACTGTTATTGCCATATTCACAATGTTTCAACCATTTTTTTTTTATCAAATCTTCATAATATCGATACAGTGCCAAATCAAACAGAAACGCCTTTTAAATGAATAAAAAAGAACCTAGTATTTCCAAGCAGTTACCCATCTAGGTGCTGACCAGGCTCAATGTTGCTTACCTTCAGTGATCATACAGCCTTCTTCAGGTGGTATACATTGGAATTTCAAACCGAACTCTTTGTTTAGTCCACAGGTGTAGATTGTTCTAAATCCACATGCCATGCCTCTTTTGAACATCTGTTTCAGTTGTTTTCATCAAGTTTCTAAAGTGGAGTTAACTGAAACTGAGATATTCAAAGGTATGGCACGTGGAATTAGAACAATTGATGCCCATGAACTAAATAAAAGATTCAGTACAAAATTGCATATAACACCTGAAGAAGACCAGAGCATACAACAGCTGAAATGTCGAGAATATGGCAATAAAGATGAGGACAACAGTCCAAATAGTGTAAATAGTTACAATAGCTCATCTCAGAAATATAGACAGATGATAAACAAACAAATTGCAGTGTTTAGGTTTTGCGTACAAAAAATAAAGCTAGCAGATATAGATTTGTAAAAGTCCTGACAAAGATGCTATTCTTTGGCTTAATTGGAAAGGACATGGTTTGGCTATCGGAATGATTTCTCTAAAAAAAAAAAAGAAATCATAAGCAGATTTTCAAGGCATGACATTTGTAAATAAAAGTTAAGTGTAGATAACTCTGTAAAAAGTCGGGGCTTGATTTTGACAATGTATCGATATTATGAAACAGAAACTCCATTTAAATGAATAAAAAAAAAAAATCAATTTTGTTCAATACTGACATGTGCTGCGGCCTGAGGAGTGTCAAGTGCAAAAAAGAATACTAATCGCTCGATAAAAATTAATTTCAACTACAATTCCGGTTTTTTTTTTGTTTTTTTTTTTTTACCCATCTATTTAAGTAATGACAGCAAAAAGTGTTTTGTTCAAAATTACCGAAAAGCTATCAAAGGTGAGAAAGCTTAAAAGGGACTAAAATAAAAGTGACAAAGACAACGAAAGCAGGAAACTGATCCAAATTAAACAATAAAAATATAGTGATTGACTATGGGGGGGGGGGTTACAGCTTATCAGATTTTTCAAAGTCAGAAAATATTTTTAATATTGTAAGGGCTTTTGGAGATAATAATGAGTTACTGACAAAAGTTCTACTAATTAACCCATAGCTGGGGGGAGAAGTGCTGGATTCATAACTTTCCCGAAAGTAATTGTGCAAAAAATGAATATGACGAACCCAACTAGAATTAGAACTTGGCTCTTTGATATCCAATTCCGAGCCGTCATCCATTATACTACCCAGACACCCAAGCTTAAAGCACCTAGTATTACCAAGCGGTCACCCATCTAGGTGCTGACCAGGCTCAATGTTGCTTACCTTCAGTGATCATACAGGAACCACTGTTTCGACATGATATGGCTAGCAGATATACATTTGTAAAAGTCCTGACAAAGATGCTATTCTTTGGCTTAATTGGAAAGGACATGCCTTCTATTATATAGAGATAGATCTTTCCCAAGTGTTTTTGCATGTAATTGAATAAAACAAACCTAACCAGAATTGGAACTTAGCTTTTGGTTTGGTTTGCGGCATAACAACCTCAATGGATTATTTAATGCCAACAAAATTTTTTATTGCCGGTAATATTTTTTTTCAAAAATGTATTACTGGTTGGTAATAATGTTTTCTGGTAATAATTCTTTTGACAAAAAAGTATTTCTGATATCAAGACGTATTTTTACACTTTCATAGTGTTTTGACTCCCAGTTTAGTGGTTAACTATTTAACATAGCTAGGACCCTAACAGGTGCTACCACCCTGGGTGAGGGTGAACCTGGGAACACCAGCAATTAAGAGGTAGTTCCATGCTCCTCAAAACCTCCTGATCAGAGGCCTTGCTGTCGGACGTAGTTATCTTACCCAGGATGGCTTAGCTTAACAATTCTGAGCCGTTTATCCATTACACCCCTAGCACATTCAAACTTACAGCACTTGGCATTCCCAAGCAGTAATCGATGTAGGTACTGACCAGGCTTGACATTTCTAAACTTGGGTGATCTTGACATTGCTTAAGTTCAGTGATTGTACGGGAGCTGGTGTTTCAAAATGATGTGGCTATAAGTCGAAAAGATGCTGAATAATTATTTTCTTCTTTTTTTAAATCAGTTGTTCTTTCCAAAGTTAAAAAAATAAAACAGAGAAAGAAATCAAAAATATTAATTTTTATAACCCACAGCTTAAGACGTAAGCTTTAAGTGCCCAAGTTGATGCAACAAGGCACGAAATACATCCTATTGGATATAAAGCAGTCAATGTCCAACTGTCATCTGGTTGTCATAAAATAATTCTATTCTGTCAAAAGTAAATTTATAAATAGTTCGCTTATACACAGATATTGAACCTGAGAATTCTTTCTCAGTGATGTCTCTTCTCGGGTCATAGAAAGTGTCGGAGTTAACTCCTCCTTTAGTACATTAACCCTTTCACCAGGGGTCTCTCTTCCCTGGCTATAAATAAATGCTTTTTTTCGCCTCTATCTCTTTTTCCCTCAGGCCTGTGCGCATGACACTTTGAGGTAAATCTCTTTTTTCCTCAGGCTTTTAGCTATTAACCTCGAAATGTTGCGCTAACAAGGGATAATGGAAACAAAGCACAATACACACACATGCACATACAGAATATTCACACACACACGCACATACAGAATATTCACATACACTTCATCCTTTGTACTGTTTCCATGTATTGTAACTTGTTATTAATATATATTTTGTATATACATATATTATCGGTCTTGTGTTTTGTTTGTTTCTCTTTGCCTTCTTCTTTGGACTTAATTCAAAGTCCAACCTCTACAAAAGTTTTGACACTCCATGACATCAGATGTATTCTCCCATGGGCCCAGCCGAGCGATCATTTCTTGACTAGTATTCTGGCAAACGTTCCACATGATTGCAAGAATAATTAATGAAATCTCAACATTGAAAAAAAAAGCAAAAAACGAATTAACTCCTGTTAAGTATATACAGAGACAATTAAGAGAAATGAGACCTCAAAATAAAAAATTCAATCTGCTTACTTTCTTTACTAAGAAAAAGTATTTACACTATTTACATTGTTCAAGGCTGTCGTCCTCATCTTCATTGCCATATGTTTTCTCCATTGTTCGTTCCGTCCTTCTTCAGGTGATACACTTTGGAATTCGAACCGAACCCTTTATTTCGTTCAACGGGGTAGATTGTTTTGGTTCCATGTGCTATGAATCATTAATGTAACATATTTTAAGAGTTGTTTCCCCTCACGCAATAAACTGCTGTCAGAAAACATTTTTTTAATGCCAAAACAAATTTTGAATTTTACAGAGAATGACTTTGATGGAACCAACATTTAAATTTTTTAAACCAAATTTTTCTTTTTTTTGTGCATTTTTTTAACTAAAGTTATTTTTAATTTTTTTTTTTTAAATATAATTTATTCTTTTTCAGTAAGAGATATATTGCAATTATTAATTATTTTTTTTTTAGTTTCAATTCTAGGGATGGAAACAAAACAATATTGAAAATAAGAAAATTAAAATTAAAAAAGATTTAAAAAAAAAAATAAATAAAATAATTATCTACCTAGTTTTTATTTATTTTTTTTTATTATTATTTTAATTTACTTAAATAGAATTTAAAAATCTTTTTTTTATAGTATGATTTTTTAATAAGAATAAAATAATAATAATAAAAATATTAAAATAATAAGAATAATAAAATAAAAAAAATAATTTTCATAATTAATAAAAATAAGTATAAAATAAGAATAAAATAAATAAAAATAAAAATAAAATAAAAAATAATAAAAATAAATAATAAAAAAAAAAATAAATAATAAAAAAATAATAATAAAAATATAAAATAAAATAATAATAATGAAAAAAAAAAATAAATAAAAATAATAATGAATAAATAATAAAAATAAGAAGAATAAAAAATAATAATAATAATAAAAATAATAAGAATAATAATAAAATAAATTATAAAATTTCAATTATGTAATAAAAAATTTAATAATAATAATAATAATAATAATAATAATAATAAAAATAATAATAAGAATAATAATAATAAAAAATAAAAAATAATAATAAAATAATATAATAATAATAATAATAATTTAAAAATAAAATAATAAAAAAAAAAAAAATAATAAAAAAATAATTTAATAATAAAAAAATAATAAGAATAATAAAAAAAATAAAATAAAAAATAAAAAGAATAAAAAATAATATGGAATAATAATAATAATAATAGTAAAAATAAGAATAATAAAAATAATAATAATAATGAAAATAATAATAAGAATAAAATAATAAGAATAAAATAATAATAATAATAAAAAAAAAATAATAATAATAAAAAATAAAGAAGAATAATTAAAATAATAATAAGAATAAAAAAATAATAATAATAATAAAAAATAATAATAATAAAAAATAATAATAAAAAATAAAATAATAATAAAAAATAATAATAAAATAATAAAAATAATAATAATAATAATAAAATAATAAAAAAATAATAATAAAAAAAAAATAATAATAATAATAAGAAGAAGAATAATAATAATAATAATAATAATAAAAATAATAATAAGAATAATAAAAAAATAAGAAGAATAATAAAAAAAATAATAATATAAAATAATAAAAATAATAATGTTAATAATAATAAGAATAAGAATAATGTAAGAATAAAAATAATAAAAGAATAATAAAGAAAGATGAAAATAAAAAAGAATAATAAAAATAATAGAGTTTGTATTGTAAAACTTAGGTACTTCTCTTATGAAATTTTAAATTTATTTTATTGTTAGTATTTTAAATTTTATTTTTCCAGAAATCATCTTTAAATGTAAGTCAATAAAGCTAAAGTACCTAAAGAAAAAAAATTAAATTGCTGAAAGTATTTGTTAATTTTTGAAAAATTAGTGTAGTTAAATTGTTCACTTAAAATTTGAAAAAAATATGTCACTTCTGTTCTTCCATCTGATAACTTCCCCCTGATCTAAGATGTCAGTACATCAATGTGACTGCCAGTTAACACCTAAAAAACAAGTCACCACAGTTAAGATATGTTTTTTAATGACGTTCCACTGACATAAGAAAAACAAGATATTTAACCAAAATTTTGCATGTTTTAAAAAGAATGAAAAAATTTAATAACCAAAAATTACTTTTGACTTTTAATTAAAACAAACATTTAGACGATAAAATTTTTTCAAGTTTGGGGCCTTTTTTCATCATGGTATGCTTTTTTTTGGCAAATTAGTGGATATACCAACTCTAATTTGTATTTAGATACATTGTATTTATTTTCAATTTTTCTAGGTGAATTGTTCACCTATATTGCATATGATCCATTATTGTTCATAATTAGGTTAGAATAAAATTTGTATTTTATATGAATACTACATTTTGAAAATTGAGATGTTTGTAGAGTTTTAGGTGGGGTGGTCTCATAGATTTGTTGGGGGCCCACAAGTCCCTTGCACCAGCCCTGAATACACTTATGGGTTACAAGATATACTGAGTGACTGATTTTAAGTGACTACAGTTACTTGAAGCAAACAATAGTTGACTGTTTCAGATTTTGTAAGGAGGTATTCTTTTTCACTGAAAAGACAGCAGTGATAAAATTGGAGGGCCAGACAAAATAGAGGAGACTGATTGTGAAAAGAAAATATAACTGCAGCTGAGTGCTTCATCAACAATGGCTCTTTGGAGGAATTGAAAGCAATTCTGAATTGTTGATTGATTTAAGATGGAATGATCTATTATGACAGGACTCTAATTTGTATTTAGATACATTGTATTTATTTTCGATTTTTCTAGTTGAATTGTTCACCTTTATTTGCATATAATCCATTATTGTACAAAATTAGGTTAGAATAAAATTTTCATTTTATATGAATACGACCTTATGTAAATTGAGATGTAGTAGAGCTGAGGTGGGTGGTGTATTATAGATTTAGGGGATGCCAAAGACAACATTTATTAAGAGCTTACAAAGGACAGGAAGTTGTGGAGAGCTATGATTGCTAATGTTCTGAAAGGACACAGCACATAGAAAATATATATACTCAGAGTATAAAAGAATAATCATGTTTAGTCTATAAAATAATTTTTTTTTTGTGAAATACCTACCCTTTTTATAGAGCACATGCATTTTTAGTGTGTACAACCCCCTCCCCCGGATGAGGAATTAAATGATTGGGGGTCCTGGACAGTTTTTGTTACTTTCACTATCTTATTTGCTTTTTACTATATACATTTTATATAAATTACAAATTAAACTAAGCCCAACTGAAATATTAAGGATGAAAGATTTTCACAAAATTTTGATGTCATTTTAGGATTTTTTTTTTGTTTATGACCAAATCCATGAATTCAATTTTTTCTTCTAATAAGTCAAAAAAAAAAAAAAAAAAAACACTATAAAAATTCATTACAACATTATTCAGACTATTGTCCTCATCTTTGTCATTTATTTATTACGTTTCAATTGGTTGTACCCTCCAACCTTCTTCAGGTGGTTGGAATGAGAAATTGAACCTTTTATTTTGCTCACTGGGGTAGACTGTTCTAGTTCCAAATGTGCCATGTTTAATGGATATCATTATCTCCCGTTAATTTTCCTCTGAAATTCTCCACTGCCATTAGCAGTGTATTGAACTCACACTCTTTTAATTTCTCACTGGATCTAACCAAATGTTTTATCCACTGTGCCATGGGTCCTTGAGGACACATGACAACAGAATATAAAACAGCAGAAATATAGACAGATATAAAATTCACTATTTTTTACCTATAATGTTGAATTTATCAAAATTATTAAACTTTTTGACAAAAAAAAAAAAAAAATCTTAAGTTGATGTTAAAAATTGCCACAAAACATTGTTGATTTACTTAAGATGGAATGATCTATTATGACATGTCTTTAATTTAATCAGAACTAGTAGATATCGGTTATTTGCCCAGGGATGTAACATTAAGAGATAGATCAAGTATCGACCATCATAAAGACTAAAAAATAAAATTGACAAAGATTATTGTTTAAGGTTGACAGACACGCATAATTAATTAGTTTTTTTTTTTTTTTTACGAATTTGTCAAACCCAAACTCAAACAAAAACATTGTTTTCAATCGTTATGAGTCTATCGATTGAATAGAATTTTATTATAAACAATTGTCTTGTAAATGGAATTTTTAAATTTTTTGAATGTAAAAAATAAAAAAAAAAGAGTGCAAGACAATAAGAAACACTAAAAAGAAAAAAAAAAGTGAAGATTTATTTGAAATCAGTTAAAAAAATGTTTCTTTTTCCAATCCCATATATAAACGAAACACACACACACACACACACACACACAAACAACCTGGGTTTTATAAGTATAACTCGATATGAGTTGTCCCCCTTTCATTCTCACGACAGCAATGCCTCTTAATCGTGTTTTCAAATTGATTTGATTGAAAAAAGAATTCCAAAACCAACAATTTTTTCTTTCCTATCAAAAAAAATGAAAAGTAATTTTAAATTAGTCCTGTGAAGTTTTGTTGAAATCTGTTGAAAAAAATGTAGGAAATTCAATCCAATATATAAACAAACAGACACACACACACACACACACACAATCTGGGTTTTATAATAAGTATAATTTAGATACATTGTATTTATTTTCAATTTTTCTAGTTGAATTGTCCACCATTATTAGATATGATCCATTATTGTACATAATTAGGTTAGAATAAAATTTGTATTTTATATAAATACTACCAAATGAAAACTGAGATGTTGTAGAGCAAGGGTGGATGAGTGGTGTACCATAGATTCACGAGGAGCACAAAATCTTTGCACTCATCCCTGGCGTCATGATACTAAAAAGAAAGGATGCAAAATTTTCTTTTTTAGTTTCAATTCTAGGGATGGAAACAAAACAATATTGAAAATAAGGAAAATTAAAAATAAACCCCAAAACATATTACATAAAAATGAGAGAGGTACCTATAATTATTAGGTACCTAGCTTATTTATGAGTTTTGTGACATTATTTTTCATTATTAATTTTGTGAAATTTTTTCATAACCGAGATATAAAAATAATAATAAAAATAATACTGTAAAATCTCATAACAGATGTACGTAAAACTTAGGTACTTCTCTTATGAAATTTTATCGCACTCTTAGTGATGAAATTTAAAATTTATTTAATTGTTAGTATTTTAAATTTTATTTTTTCAGAAATCATCTTCAAATGTAAGGCTATAAATCATAGATTCTGGAGAAGCACAAAATCTTTGCACTCGACCCTGGCGTCATGAAAGAAGGCATGCAAAATTTTAGGAGCCACCCGACAAAATGAAGATCCTCTCAGACGAAGATACACATGCAAATTCCTCATGTTAAATGACCAAACATAGATTGAATAAAGGTTGCGACTTTCACTTTGTACTTTTACTGTAGTTGATTTGTTTCAATTGATAAATTTTTTTTTTTTTTACTGCTTATCAACTCATTGTGGGTTATTTAAAACCTAAACTTATTTTAGATTGTTAACATTTTTTTTTTTTTTTTTACTGCTTATCAACTCATTGTGAGTTATTTAAAACCTAAACCTATTTTAGATTGTTAGTATATATTATTTTTTTTTTTAGAATGAATATTGTATTAATAATTTTTTTAAAATAACAATAACTTTTCCAGATACAAGTCATACTCTTTAACCCATAGCAAGAGGGAGAAGATGGACTCATATCTTTTCCAAGGGTACTTGCATATAAATGAATGCAACAAACCCAACTTGGCTCTCCAATTTCTCATTCCAGGATGCCATTTGTTATCCCTCCCGCACGTCCACGAGCTGAACAGCAGGCCATGGGATGATGATGACGACATATATAAATTAATTTATTTCATTCAATTTCAGTTCTTCCTCCATCAGAAAAAGCAGTTAGTTCTATGTCGCCTCTGTTTGGCTTATAATTTTTGCATGCCTTATTTTCAGGATCCAGATGCGTTCAGGTGTGTATCTCCCCTTGTACTGTGTGCATGTGAATGCAACAACTCGAATTACTACCCTGAATGACCAGATACTGTGCCTGAAGGTAGACTGTAAAACACGGGGCTGACCTCTTTTGTCCATCACGGTATGTAAATAACATTTCAGAATAGGTCTTTACTGTTAAATCTGCAACAGAGTATCTTTACACTCACTGGCCACTGAATTATGTTCACATGAACAAATGCTCTTTATGCAAATTTCTAATCAGCCAATAATATGGCAGTAACTTAACCTAATAAATTTGTTTGGTGTTGGTCATAATCAGTCTTAAATATATTTAGACACTCGGACTTATCTCACTTGATGTTTTCTATTTCTTAAGAAGACGAATGTTGGTGTTATGTTCCTATTCATATATTTTTAATTTAAGAGTTGACAGACAACATTAACTGCCAATCTAATCTGGCATCTCGTCTACAGTCGCTCTCTTACAGACATGCTGTTGCTTCCCTCTGTCTTTTCTACAAATACTTTCACGGTAACTGCTCCAACGAGCTACTTTTACTGGTTCTCAATTTACATGAATTTAAGCGTGCTACTAGGTTGGCATCTCAGCATCCTTTTCACTGTCAAAACGGTTAAATGTAGCCGTCTCTTCTACTCCAATAGCTTCATGTCTCACACTTCCTGTCTGTGGAACTCCCTTCCTCTTACTTGCTTCCCTGATAGCTATAATCTTCAATTATTCAAATGCAATGTCAATCGACATCTTCAGATGCCTTGCTTTAATTCCCCATGCTTCTCTTTATCCTTTCTTCTATCACACCTCTTTACTCTTGCTCCCACTCTCTGTAACCCCTTGCGTGCTAGTGGCACTCCTGCCTTGCTTGGGGTAAAATGCTTTAAAAAAAAAGAAAAAAAAAATATTGTAATGTTTAAGATTAATCTGAGATATATCATAGCTTCCTGGAAGTTTTTTTTTTCTCAGACATGTTTTATTTCATCTTATATGACAGGCTGAGTGATTTTGGTAAGACCTGTTTAAATTTACTCGTCATTCATGTGAAGAAATGAAAATATGCCATTTGCAATAAAATTGTCATAAGATAGTTCATTTGCATTTAATTTTAATGGTTCAAACAATGCCAAGAAAAATGGTTGGCCCTGACACATATTCACCTCATCAAATCTGTCCTTCTTTGAAAAACGTTTGGACACCGCTGGCCTAGAGCTTCAAGCATGGTCATAGCAACCTGCTGAATTTCATTTCATGCATCAATATGAGAAAAAAACATAACTTAAGTGACTTTGAAAATGACATGGTCATCGGTGCCAGATGGGCGGGTTAGTGTATTTCAGCAACTGCTGATCTGCTGATTTTCCTACATTTCTCTAGGGCTTGCAAAGATTGATTTTTTTATTTTATTTTTTACAGCTTATCAACCTTTTGCGGGTTATTTAAAGCCAGAAAATATTTTTTTGGTTTTAAGTCTTTTTTTAGGATGACAATGATTTACTGGTAAAAATCCTACTAATTAACCCATAGATGGGAGAGAGAATAGGTGAATTCATACTGTTCCCAAGGGCATTTGTGAATATAACGAACCTGACTGGAATTGGAACTTCTACTCTTAGATTTCCAATTCCAAGCCATTATCCATTACACCACCTGCACATCCAAGCTTAAGGCACCTGGCATTACCAAACAGTCATCCATTTAGGTACTGACCAGGCTCAACGAGAAGGAATGGGTCATTACCCTACTGTGCTGGACCAATGACTGTTGGTAGGGGAAGATATAACAAGCTTGGATGATCATGTCTTCTTTTGATTCACCACCTGCCAAAGGGTATTTGCGTGTATGTGAATGCAACAAAGTCAACTGGAATTTGAACTCGGCTCTCCGATTTCTCATTAAACCGCCAGCACATCACATTCAAGCTTACAGCACCTGGTGCTCCCAAACGGTCCCCCATCTAGGTACTGACCCGGCTTGACATTGCTTAACTTCAGTGATCGTACAAGGACCGGTATTTCAACATAATATGGCTGTAAGCCGAAAATGGTTAGAAGAGGAGAAAATTTTGGTGAGCAGAAATTCCGTGGGTAGACATCCCTTGATGATAAATGGCAGGGGAGAAGAATGCTCAAGCTGAATACATAACATGCTGAACCTTGAGGCTGTCAGGTTACAGCAGCCGAAGACCATTGCCATTCACGTCAGAGAAGAACAGGGAAATGAGGTGACAATTTGCTAAGAATCACAGAAGATGGAAAATTGGGAAAATGTCTGATTTGATGGGATTTGATTTCTGCTGCAACATTCCAATGGAAGGGCCAGAATTCGGCATAAAGAAACATGAAAATATGGATCTGTCCTGTGTTGCATCAGCAGTTCAACTGGTGGCGGTCGTGCAATGGCATGGATAATATTTTCTTGGAATACGTATGTTGGCTTGGTATCAATAAAAGATCAGTGAAATTCTACAGCTTACCATGGTATTACCACTGATCATGTGTTTCAATTCGTGACTACAGTGAATTCATCCCTTGATGATCCCTTAGGACAACATATTTTGCCACAAATCAAAAATAGTGGAATACAGCAATGAGATTTCAGTGTGAAAGTGGCTGCCACACTCACTGGACCTCAGTCCCATTTAGCACCTTTGGGATGTGTCAGAAAAGAAGATTTAGATCCTGGAAGGGCAGCCAGCCCATCTAGAACAATTACAGGATGACCTCACAACAGCAAGGGCTGCAATTTTGAATGAGTACTTCTAGGCATTTTCCAAATCTATGCCTAGAAGAATTGAAGTGGGTCTAAAAAGGCAAAGGGGACTGAATCTATACCAAAAATATATACTTAATAAAATGACCAGTGAGCATATATGTATATATATATATATATATATATATATATATTTAAAGATATTTTGTAGGTTTAAAATTTAATGATCGAAATAAAAGTATAAAATTTAATATTACAAGACATATTAAAACAATATTAAATAAAAAAAAAAAAAAAAAAACTCAACAACAAGGGGGGGGGAAGCAAACGGTTTCGCTCCCGAAAATCAGGCTTCACGGAGATTCAATATTAAAACAGAGAAATGTACAATGTGAATAGGTGAAAAAAAAAAAAAAATATATATATATATATATATATATATATATATATATAGTTTGTATATGCAAGAAGGAACTAGAGGCAGATGACAGCGAGTCCCAACAAACACTCACGTTGTTTGCACAAAAGAAAACTTTAATGGGACCCGATGTAAAGTGCCTCCAGAACCTTAAGATGAAATACAGTGTGTGACCGGGCCAACATGGTGAACCAGTCAACACTAAATTTTGGCACAATCTCTGCTATTTAAAAGATGTTCGCATATGGCGGAACTGTAGGTGTTCGGGACGAGTCCATTTAACGCAAGGTGTGTTTTCTAATTTTAGTAGGAACGTGCTGCTTTATTCTAGTGTCTAAGCGCTGAGTTGTTCTCCCTATGTAGTTGGCTAGATTAACTACAAACGTATTTGTAAACAATTGAATTGATATGGTGGGGAGGGAGAACGTCTTACATGCAGATCGAAACATGGGCGAGTTTGAAAAATAATCCGAACTTCAGCAGAGAAAAAGCAGCAGCGGACCTTATATATATATATGTGTAATTTTTTTTTTTTTTTTTTTTCCCCACCTATTCACATTGTGAATATGTTTTAATATTGAATTAGCTGAAGTATTTAAAACGGGATTTATTAAAACTATTATTTCTTTGTTGAGTTTTTTGTTTTTTTTATTTAATATTGTTTTAATTATGTCTTGTAATATTAAATTTTATACGCATTTTATTTCAATATATATATATATATATATATATATATATATATATATATATATATATATATTTAGTTTATGAAAAACTAAATAATCCGTATGGGTAGACCCAAGGAGGATAAAATCCAGAGAGCTCAATGTAAATCCAGAGCAAATAATTTAAATAAAACAGACTACTTTAAGGTTCCATGTAATAAATTAATTCACCCCCACCCCTTTTAAAGGACTGCGGATCATCAGACTTTACTTCCAAAGATTGAAACAAAAAAAAAAAAATTAAAAAAAAACTGATGATCAGCAGTTCTTAAAAGGGCTGTGGTGAAATAATTTATTACATGGAACCTTAAAGTGGTTCGTTTTTATTTATATATATATATATATATGGATTTTATTTATAATAATTTCTTGTCATAAACCCGGACCCTTATTCCAATAGAATTTAAATGCCACAGCCTACCTAGTTATTGTACTGTCTATGTGCCTCAATTCTGACGACAGTGCACCCATCCCCTGGTGGCTACTTCCAGTAGGACAATGCACCATGTCACAAATTTAAAATAGTGGCAGATTGTTCATAGAACAAAGCTACGAGTTTCATCTCGCTGGATTTCAATCCCATAGAGCACCTTTGGGATGCGGTGGAAGGAAAGAATCGAATCCTGGATGTGCAGCCAACCAATCTACGAGAACCAGTCTCATAGAATTGTAGGATGCATGGACGCAAATTTTGAAAGAGAGCTTCCAGAACATCATTGAATGCCAAGTAGAATTGTGACAGTTCTAAAAGGCAAATGGGGGGGGAGGTTCAACCCATTACTAGAAGAGTATAGCTAATAAAGTGACTTGTTAGCATAAGTCTTTATATCAGCCTGCGGAATACAGAGGTGAAAAAAAAATCACTTTACTCATTATGTGTCTGTAAATGTACCTGCAGGTGGGAATTTCTGAAATAGCCTTTGCCACATGTATCACAGCGAAATGGTTTGTCACCCGTGTGAGTGCGGATGTGCATCACCAAATAAGCGTTCTTCGAAAAATTCTTACCACAAATGTCACATTCGAAGGGCTTCTCACCCGTGTGTGTACGCATATGCATCAATAAAGAAGCCCGTGTGGAAACGTTCTTTCCACACAATTCACACTGGTATGGTTTCTCCCCTGTGTGGATACGAGTATGCTGAAGACAGTTGCCGCTGTCAGCAAACCTCTTGCCACACACCATGCACTGAAAGGGTTTCTCTCCAGTGTGGGTCCGGATGTGCGTTAACAGGGTGGTATTTTCTGCAAAGTTTTTGCCACATACCTCACAGTGGAATGGCTTCTCCCCCGTGTGTCGCCGTACGTGCTTCAGCAAATGAACATTCTGTGAAAACTGCTGGCCGCAAATGTCACAATGAAACAGTTTCTCTCCGGTGTGTGTTCGCTGGTGCCTTATCAGGTTGACATTTTGCGAAAATTGCTTGCCACAAGTTTCACAATGGAAGGGTTTCTCTCCAGTGTGTGTTCGCATGTGAGTCAGCAAATGCACCTTCTGAGAAAATTGTTTGCAGCATGTGTCACAGTGAAAGGGTTTCTCGCCTGTGTGTTTCTGCATGTGGATGAGTAGCCTGGAATTGTTGGGGAAGTTTTTTCCGCAAATCCGGCAAATGACACCTTTCTGCTCCGTCTGGGGCGTTGCTTCTTCAAGGTCATTCTCCGCGGAAAGACTCATTCTTCATTTAAAAACGAAACTTGAACGAGGCTACTTCCTTCAACACACAATTTTCAGCCCCAGAAAATTGTGCCAAAAAAAAAAAATCACCAAATCCTATAAGAAAAAATAAAAAGATACCAAAAATAAATAACAGAAATAGAAAATTGTCTTCTTTTTTTTTTTAAACTAAAAAAAAAAAAAAAAAAATAAAAAAATAAAAAAAATAATAATATTATATATTTATGTTGGTCACATCACAAACTCGCTTTCACAATGCTTGGGTAAAGACCAACAGAAGTTCTTAGTTAAGGATTTTTTTGTTTATTTTTTTCTATATTTTCTAATTTCTTGTGAAATTTTAAATATAAACTGACCACTGTCTCCGAAAGATATGACTCAGAGGTTTGAATTGAATTTAATGTTCATCAGGAACATTTGATCAAAGAAGAGTTGATCTGTGGTGGCCTCAACATGTACTGGATTCACCCTAAGAGATACCAAAATAAGCTTTGTACTCAGTGTCACATCAGAATGCCCAAAGACGTATGTGCCTCGGCAGTTTGATCTAAAGGTACAGACTCAGGCCTCAACAGAAGTTGGATGCCGCATCAAAATATATAAATTCTCCTCCCACTCAGTTTGGACAACCTCTACCACAGGCAGATTAATAGAATCATAAAGTTGGAGACAAAAAAGTTCAATTTTTAAACCTTAAAAAAAAAAAAAAAAAGTAATAATCACAAGGTTTTATTGAACTTTTTGTTAATTATTCGGTAATAATGGAATTTTTTTATTTTAAAAATGTTGAGGAAATATTTTTGGCAAACTTGGACATTCATGCCCAAACAAAAGTGTCAAAAAGAACTGTGTTATTTTAATTACCTTCACTCGTCGGCAATATTTATTGTTTTAAAAAATGATGATTAGAATTGTAATAAAACCTAAACATAATGATGAAAAGGAATTAAAACATATGAAGAAAATCAATTCTCAAGAACAAAGAAAATGTGTAAGTTCACTTTGATATGTGTAGGTTATATTACAATTCTAATGATTGCTTTTTAAAACAAAGAATACCAAGTAATGAAAGTAGATAAAATAATAGCGGTGTCAAGGGAAAAACCATCTTTTCAACACTCCATTTTTTTTTGAGGGCACAAAGGTCTAAGTATGTCATATTCTTATATTCGTAATATATGTTAAATAATTAATATTATTAAAATACTTAAAAATAGGTATCTCCACTTTTTTCTAAAAAAAGAGTATAGCATGCTGAAAAAAGGTCCCTAACTTGATGAAAACAAAGTTTTAACATCAAAATGTTTGTTATTATTAAGAGGAAAGACCAACAGATTTTTTTTTTTATTATTTATTAAATTTTTAAATTTAGATTAAATGTCTTGTTTTTTGTTTTGTGTCAGCAGTGGGCCAAAGATTATTATGGGAGTTTTAGCATCTTTTTGGTGTTAAAAGCACATCGATTTGGAAATTCTTGCAAAAATCAAATAACTGTCAGATTTTAA